TGGTGCAGTAAAGGGTTCTTTCTGGCAACTCGACCATGCAGCTCATTTTTGTTCAAGTATTGTCGTATTGTGCTCCTTGAAACAACCACACCATCTTTTTTCAGAGCAGCCTGTATTTCTCATGAGGTTACTTGTGAGTTTTTCTTTGTATCACGAACAATTCTTCTGGCAGTTGTGGCTGAAATCTTTCTTGGTCTACCTGATCTTGGCTTGGTATCAAGAGATCCCTGAGTTTTCCACTTCATAATAAGTGATTGAACAGTACTGACTGGCATTTACAAGACTTTGGACAAACTCATTGACTATTTATACACAGACACTAATTGCAATTTAAAAAGCCACAAGTGTGGGAAATTAAACTTTAATTGTCATTTTAACCTGTGTGTGTCATCTTGTGTGTCTGTGACAAGGTTAAACATTCAAGCGTATGTAAGCTTTTGATCGGGGCCATTTGGGTGATTTCTGTTATCATTATGATTAAAAAAGGAGCCAAACAACTATGTGATAACAAATGGCTTCATATGATCACCATCCTTCAATAAAATACACTTTTTTTTTTTCATGATCAGTCATGTTTTTCAAGGCAGTGCCAGAATTTCACAATTTCTTCCAGGGTATGCAAACTTTTGAGCACAACTGTACATGTGGTCAGTACTGAACCCAGATATGCAGAGCCGACCTTTCAGTGGGGCATCTGGGGCTCCAATCTTATAGGGACCCCTCGGCTGTGGGAGCTCCCACTTAGAGCAGACCTGTTACAAACCTGTTGCATAAAAATTAATTTCTCATATTCTGAATTAAACTGGGTAATAAAAACAGGTCCTCTCTCAGTATAAAAAAATATTAGTACATTGAAAAAGTGTTGGTTTAAAGTATTGGAAGTATTGAAAAATGTTTGTATGATGAGAGCCCTAGGCTCACCTTTACCAAGAATCTAAACCTAAAGAATCTTTTGACCCCTTCTTAGTGGGTATATCAATCAGAATGTTTTATATAATAAGGAACAGGGTGTTAATGTGGATAGGGGAAATTTGAAATGTGGACATACCATGTGTGTGTGTGTTGGTGAGGGTAGGGGGCCAGGGTGTCGGAGGGTGACGGTGTGGGGAGGGGGGGCAGTGTGCAGTGCTACCTTACAATACAATACCTTACAATACAAAAAAACTGCTCATACTGCTACTCATACCACTTGGATAGATAGATAGATAGATAGATAGATAGATAGATAGATATGGAAAATGCTGCCCCGCAAAATGTGGAATTCAAATGCTGCAGGCAGGAAATCAAGTCATAAATCAAGAAGGAACCATGTAGCATATGAATGCTGTATACCAAGTAGGATTGCATGTACTGCCCATCACGTTATCATATTGATGGGCAGTACATGAAATGTATTGCCCTATAATAAGTAAAATTCACTTTACCCCAGCGAAAAATCAGAATTAATGAAGGTTCTCCCTTTTGAATACTGCTGGACAACAAGTTCAAGACCTGTGCTATAGAATGCAGAATTAATTTATATCTTGCAAAAATATGATTATCTGACAACACATTGTCAAGAATCCAATATGCAGTCATAAGATCCCAGTTTTAGAAAGTAAAAAAGCAAATAAAGCAGGAATGTTTCTGCGGGAGGTTTACAGCTATTCAAATCCCTACCTGTTTGCGTTGCATTTGCCAGTTTGACCAGTGAGCCAGAGTCACTTTCCCTGCTTCACCTACATTAATATAGGATGCAGAGCGGAAAAACACTGTGCATAGATTGAACACAAGAACGTGTAACCCTGAGTAATACGTTACTTATATCCTTAAACATCAAACTGCTGATGTAGGAATCCACTGAAAGGATGACCCATGTGAGCTGATTTAAATAAAAACACATTCACATCTCTTCAAGAGAAGTGGATAAATGCGGCCAAATCAGCGTTATTTTATTTAGTTTTTGATACAATTAGAATATATAAAAAGATTGCTGAGTTGGGCAGCATCAATTTGTGTATTGCAGTCCAAAGTATTCTAGAATTGTGTTGTGTATCTCAAACTATCAAACAATGGTGAGTAGACCTTCTCCGTCTGAGGACAATTTTAGAAAATGTTCGGAATAGGGCTGCCACATCCACCATGTTATAGGATTCATATAACTTATTCATGCAGTTGGGCATGGTGCTGCCCCGCAGTAGATATTATATTCTACAGAAGTCATCTTAAAACACCATAAGCATGTAGGGCTTTTCCAGGCACCCATGAAATTACATTGCAGCATTATCACTGTTAATCTGACCCTGCTTTGGATGGCAAAAAAAGGTTGTGAGGCTAAACAGCACTCTCAAACTATTATTGCTCTTCAGCATTGGATCGATTCATATGTTTAATGTCATTAATACTTTCAGTTAATCGCTGCCCTCCAGGTTGGTGAAATTGACGGCGATAAATTGGAAGAATAAATTACGCATTATTAATGTGGTTAAGGAGGGGCAGCCTCTCAGTGTCACCGACAGCCTCAGGTTTTACTTAACTTTCTCTAAAATATTTTACATAATATGGACATAGTATAAAAAAAAGAATCTCAGGCACTCACTGTGATAAATCAAGCAGATTTATTGGAAACCGTGCCATTTTGACCTTTACCCATGTCTTTATCATTCTTGATAAAGACCTGAGTACATGTCAAAATGTTGCGGTGTCCATTAAAACTGCTTGATTTATCACAATGAGCACTTGAGATTTTTTCTTTTATACTCGTTCTTACGGGATATGCTGAACCATACTCAGTTAGCACCCTGTAATTTTTATGATTAAGTGCAGTCCCCTTTTTCTCCTTGATAATATGGACATAGGACAAACGGAGCCTCTAGACAACATAAACTACATTTAGCAGAAGTGGTTGTATTGTCTAATGTGCCCTTAACTTTTCTATAATACAGAGCTTGTCTCATAATTAAAACATCTTGGAATTGTAAATCAATTGTCAACTTTCTATTGTAGAAAGCATGATAACATGAAAATAGTACATATATGTTGAACAAGGTGCAGCATACCTCAATAGGGTGAAAAAAAACTATTCTGTATAATTCTAGGTCACCTTGAAGATGTTTGAAGAATTTTGAGCAATCCAATATGGCTGTTGCACCATGTGACCAATTTCTCTTATTTTAAATAAATGTTAATCTAGGTCACAGCATAGCTTGACACAGAAAGTTGCAGACCTGTAGTTCTGAAGAAGAAGCATTTTAAATATTGTGTGAATTGGTTGCAACAAAAAATAAAATCCCTGAATGGCTGCCATATTTTTTTATTTCAATACATAATAAAATTAGCAGTACAAAAAAGGGAGGGGGGTACATCAAACCAAGATCACTAATGCATTTTGTGCCACCTGGGCATTTCTTCTTTAAATCAAGCAAATCTGAATATATAAGCTGACACAGCATTTGTATATCTGTAGCGTAAGTGGATGTGGAGAAAAAGATGTCTGGATATCATGCAAAATTGGTCAAAACCAAGATGGCTGCCAGACCTATGTTGCCCATATTGCAAAGGATATAGTGCACCATAGGTTTCTACCATTGTTTCATTAGTTTTCCACTAGCAGTTTTTTTTTTTTTTTTTAGACATTGATATTAATCAGGTTGCCCATCAACTGTCCATTGCTTGGCCACCTAAAGTTAAAACTAAAATGATAAATTAAGAAAAATACAACCATTATGCTTAACGTGTAGGTGTCAGGAAAGCTTATTAGTAAATGTATTACACCTGATAAACAGGGTATGTCTAATAATAATGAAATAATAAATAGATAATAATAATTATAAAGATACTGTTAAAAGAAAGAAGACACAAACTAAAGAACAAATCTTAACCAAGAAGTAGTGATACTGCCAGGAAATATATTGCTCTAAGACAGTTGCACCCTATCTTAAAGTAACACTGTAGGGTCAGGAACACAAACATGTATTTGTGACCCTATAATGTTAAAACCACCATTTGTCCCCCCTGCTCACCCCTTTCCCCCCTAAATATAGTAAAATCGTGCCTGTATTCAAGTCTGCAACTGCAGGATCTGCCCCTGTCTTGCCTGCTGACTGCTGACATCATCAGAAGTGGTGGTCTGAGACAATACAATGCTAACCCATAGTATTGGCTGAGACTGTCAAGGAGGCAGAACAGGGGAAGAGCGAGCACAAGTCAAACACAACCTTGGCCAATCAGCATCTCCTTGAATCAATGCATCTCTATGATGACAATTCAGTGTCTGCATGCAGCACTGCCCCAGGAAGCACCTCTAGTAGCCATCTGAGGAGTGGTCAGTGGAGGTATCCCTAGGCTGTAATGTAAACATGCATTTTCTCTTGCAGTAAACAGTGTTTACTGCAAAAGGCCTGAAGGGAATGATTCTACTCACCAGAACAAATATAATAAGCTGTAGTTGTTCTGGTGACTATAGTGTCCCTTTAAACTACATCATTACAGAGACATTTTTGTATATATTTACCTGTTACATAAATGTTTTGTGTAACTTCCCCATCCCTTACTGCATAGGAATATCTGATAGTAAAGTCCACAGGTCCTAAAAGTGACAACTTACAGCAAGAAAACAAAAACATTCAGGGTTCACTGCACTTGGTCTCTGTTACTTTTCCTTCAGTAGAACTTAATGGAGCATTTAAAAGCTGCACATGTAGGTCCCTTGAAGACACATTTTCCTTTCTGCAAAGTCAACCTCTGTGAGACTCCCAGCAAATACATTTATAGTTTATTCATTTTATAACATTAAAAGACATATGAACATTGGTACACAGCCTACACATACCACAAATTGAATATTATATGAATTTACATTAATGATGATTTAGGTCGGAAAGGTCAACATTGTGTGCACTATTCACTATACTGAGAACTGTGTAATTGGATGGGTGGGCGGACCTTCTGCGGGCAAGTTGAGTCACTAGCAACATCAACATCACTGGCAGCCTCCTGGTCTGCCCACAACCTACAAAACCATGCAGAAAGCACTGCTGAATCAATCAGAGCTACGTCAATGGGCAACATTCATAATTATTATGTTTCCATTGTTTTCAATGTCTTATTAAACTTTTTCAATCAACAATGCATAAGAAAAAAGACAAGATGGAAACAGCAGAATATAAAGGTTTTGCATTATTTTATTCTCAAATCTGTCGCTTCCATTTTACAATTTTACAAGAAAACAAAAAGAAGTGTTACTTTTCTCATTGCAATCTCTAAACTCACAAATGAAAATCAAAAACAAAACGTAATTTCTTACAAAATAATTTTTTTTAAAAGGCCTAATCTCACAGAAATACAATCATCTTTCTCCTTAGCTACTAGCAACAAGATCCTACTGGGAGGTCCCATCCCACCCACATTCCACCAATGTACATTCTTAACTCCAAGTCCATGTTAGATACTGCAAAATTACATTGAAAGGCTGCAGGTACCAAAACGTATTTAACAAAAGTTTACCAGTTGTTCCTGATACTTTGAGGCTAGTCTGCACTTTCCAAGAATGAACCCAGATTTGCAAACCTATTTTTGTTTTGAAGCGGAAAGTGCTGTAACAACGTGTCACAGGGACCTGGGGATCCATTCTGATTGCATTAGATTGCATTTGGAACCTCAAACTGCTCAGAACCTGCTTTTTGGCACAAATAGATATATATTCAGTTATTTAGATTTTGGTAGATACTTTGTTCTTGTGCTGTTCTTCAAAACTGATTTGGGAATATCGGGAATATAATTTGTAGATTTGTGTAAATTATCAGGTATATTAGCCAGGTAATATTTAGCAATACTTTTTCAAGTAGATATGGTGATAAAGTGGTATGCTTTAAACTAGAATTGACAATGCTTTTATTTCAGATGTAGTTGACTTTTCTAAAACTTTACAAATTTCTTTCCTAGTATGAAAATGTACTGGCAATAATTTTTGGAGTGAAGGACTAAAAGTAGTTTAAATGTCAGGGAAACCTAAGGAAAGTTCATATTAGTTGTCCTACTCTTAGCACTTGGGCTCAGATTATTTTGCATAATAATATTCTTCATGTTCTACATTGTGTTTTCTTCTAATTTTCTAATGTTTTCTTCCTTTTGCTATAATATTCTCTGCGGCACGGCCTGACACTATACATAGATAGATTGTTCATTGATTGATTGACAGTTAAAGTCGGCAGCTGCTGAGTTACAATAATATGTAAATGGTAAAAAAGGGCACCGTATGCTGGAAGCCAATTAATAACCTGTCTGAACTTTTGTCAGTCTAGAGAAAGAAAGTCTGTGAATCAAAAGAGCCCCCATGTTAACGAAACTTGTAACAGATAACATAAGGAAAAAAACACACATATAGAACACATTAATGGAATACATGAATTATGCAAAAAAAAAAGTCAGAGCCCCTGATTATGAATGTTTTTAAAATATTACATGAACTTGATCTGAATCTGTTTTTAAAGTACACAGCACAAGATCACACTGCCTGTCGGAAACACTGGTTAGTGTAATAATTTGGCTATCTGGGAAAATATGCATATATGTTTATATATACATATATTTATATATTCAAACATAAAGGACAAAAAAATCAACACAATATGTTTAAATTCCTATTTAGTCAGTTAGTTATGTCACTTGTCATTGAATATACATGTTTTATACCATTTTTCTCCTAAAAGAAACCTATTTTCTGGATGTAATTAATTGTGCATTTCTGATATCGGATTATTTCTGTTTAAGTAAGATAGTGAGGCTTTTAGGAAAATTTAATTAAAATATGGGTTATATCAGCAATGTCCTTTGCAGATAACCTTTTAAGGTAAGAAAACATTGTATATATAGATATATGTATATATTTTCATTGTAGGAATTGTAAAGAAATTATAATTTGGTCCCATTGTATTTGGTGAGTATATGTTCATATATGTTGGCAACACACTAACTGGTAACTGAATTCATTTTTTGACATAAAAGTAGACAATGCAGCTTATTAATTTTTGTACATATCCAGCATTGTAATAAAAGGGTTTTTTTTTTTTAAAAAAAGGAAAAATATAAACCGTGTACTGCAAAGAAAATTTAAAAAAATGATAAACATTTTCTAATACACTTCATTTTGTAAATTTAAAAAAATGTAAAAAAATGTTTTTTTGGTGATAAACAGCATAAATATTTATCAAAACACCAAAACAAATGCACATACAAATGAATTACATAATTAAAATAAATAGGCAGTCGTATAAATATGCATAACAAATAGAATTCTGAGTTTCAATTTTATATACATCCTGAAAAAATAATGTAAACAAGTTTGTTCTTTTTTTCTGTTTAAACAACAGATAACAAAGAGCCAAGAACAAAATACACACATATCACACACACACACATATAAATGTATGCATATATAACTATATATTCATATTAATATATATGTATATATAAGCATACTGCACCATTTTCCAAATTGCATTAAACGTTTTCATTCAGAACTATCCACATTTTATTTATAAGTTGTTGGTTTTTGTTTTCATAATCAATGCTTTAGGCTGAACTTTAACTTCAAGTTTGTTAACACCAGAGACCTGATTGCAAGCTCCAAAACAAGAATTAAAAAAAAGTGCGTGTTACATATTGTTACTGACAAATGTAAAATTAAATTATGGTCCACATGGACAGAGCAGGAGTTAATTTCTATATGGTTCCAAAGAAATTGCAAGAGAACTTAATTAAATATTCAATAAGGCAAACTGATTTTTAAATCGTGTTTTTTTTTAACCATGTAACAATCCTCTAGCTGAGCACTTAGAAGATAATCATTTCTAAATTTTCAGGCTGATATTAGTGGTTTGGTCTATGTCATTGGTTCCCAACCCAGTCCTCAAGTAACCCCTAACAGTCCAGGATTTAGGGATTAGCTAGTTGTGTCTAAAGTGTTTTCAGAAATAAAGAAAAAACACTTTAAACACAACAGGGTAATCCCTAAATCCCGGACTGTTTGGGGGTACTTGGGCACTGGGTTGGGAACCCCCGGTCTACGTGAAAGATGGGTATGTTTTGGCATACAACAAAAGAATAAATAATTCATATTTTTAGCAAAAGGCAGCTGATAAATAGACACAGAGGCAACATGAGCAGCCCACTCATGTCTGGTCAGGAACCATTTTTTTCCCATATCATATCACAATGATAAAACAGAGCGTTTTCTAATACGTTAACTATTTCTAAATGTTGTTTCACAAGCATGATTTTTATATGTCCTTTGCTTTCCTTTCTTAGTTGTTTTAAGAAATTAGAATTGAAAAAAAAGAATCAGTAATCTATTTTACCATAGATCTTATTAACAGTTTTTTAGCGTCACTCAGTGCGATTACATTGCTATTCAGCAGAGCCATGCACATAAAGGCAATCAGAAAATGTACTGTGAGGCACTGGGGGGAGGCTCATAGGAATACTGGGGGTAAACTGTCGCCTCGGGGCAAGTGCTCTCTTTTCCATTTTTAGTGGGAGTGCATGCATATTGCACTAGAATGTTGAATTAGTAAGAGACACATGATGTGATTATTTGCCATCTGTGATTAAACCGTACATGGTTTACCAAAAGTAGGTCGCCTAGAGTGTGCTGCTGTTAAAGGGAAACCAACCATATAGTGTATGTTGCTCCCCAGTGGTGAGATCAGATAATGTGGGGTAGACAGAGCCATTTTGGCACCTTGCTTAGATTTGTGCTCTGTTTAATTAAATCTCACGACACTGACCCTTCTTGATGCATTATTATTGGGTTGTAAATGCAGAAAAGACGAGAAAAGAAGGTCCTTCTTTCCCAATAAATAAATAAATAAATAATCTGAAACAACCCAAGAAACAAAAAGTTAACTTCGTCCACATCGTGTCAGTAGAATAGAAATAAATTACAAGTACAATGGAAGTTACAGACCGTGTTATCATACACAATAACTGAAGGGTACATAAGTTAAACAGCTAGAACACATTTGATGTATAGTTTATAACTTCCCTATTCTAAGGGTTGCTGGCAGAAATCTCTGTTTAAAGCATCCTAAAGCCACTTTCCAATTAAAGTTCTTTTTTCTGATTCAGAAAGCATTGCTGACATCTTTCAGGGAGGAGGAGGGCCAAACTCAGATTTGGGAACACGGCAGATACTGATCTTAACAATAGCACTAAACTTATTTTGCTTTTAAAACACATCCTGTGCACAGGTCATGATCATTTGTGCACATGCTTAACATATACTCTGCCTCATCAAGTGACTAGATTTGATAGACCTTTAACCATGTTTATCGAAATTTAATGACCTCCCTCCTACCATCACCCGAGGCTCTTCAACTATTTATTTTAAAGAAGCCCTAACAATAACAGCATCTGCGTTGGAATGACATCGACATAGATTCAGTAAAAATAAGGATAAAAATTCTTCTTTTAGCTCTGGTTACAAAGATACAAAATGTATAAAAAGAGTCTGATCAGTTTATTGTCCTCTCTCCTCCACAGATGGCAACATTCTGAAAGGAATCTTCAGTAGCAAGTGTTGATATGTAGATACATCGACGACATCACCTCTCCATAGCGCTTGCCTTTGTTTTTGACAGAGCTTGCACCCTTGCTTGTTTTTTTTTTATTTTCTCTCAGCGACATGGGTTTTACTGTGTTGGTGCGGATGGTAAAGGGCATTACCTGAGATCTCTGAAATTCTCCAGCTCAAACACCTCTCAGGTCTTCTGGCCTATGGACTACAAACCTCTGTTTGCAATATGTAGCCAGGCGCGCGCATACACACTTACCCACAGTTTTCCTTTCTTATAACCTATGCTCAGATTTTTCAGGAATGAGCATCATTTCTCACTAATCTAGAAAATATAAGATAAAAAAACAATGGTCAAAACAATTCAACCTCAACTTCATTGGCCATATACTACTAATTGGCAATATAAAAATAGCAATATATTATTAATCTAACAAGACTTTTATGTTCTCAACCTGTGGTGTAAATTTTGCAATTATTGTGTTGAATACTACTAGTAAATGAAACCAGATTGTTATTTTTTTGGGTAAGAAAACATTGTGTTATACATTCATGATGCCTTATTCATTTTCTCTCAGATCAGTTTATTCAACATTTCTTCATCAATGTAAAAACAAAAATCACCCTTTGACATCTCAGAGCTAGAGTACAGGTTTGTTGCTGTAGTCACAAATCACTGTAGTAATTTAAAACAGTACAATATACTCTCTGCATCATAACTTTTGTAATGATGCCTGCAATGTTGTCATTGTTATAGTGCAGGAGTAGGCCACCTTCGGCATTCCAGATGTTGCAGACTACATCTCCTCTAATGCTTTGCATTATTGCTGTTAGAGCATTATTCATAATATTTGGAGTGCCGAAGGTTGCCTACTCCTGTTATAGTGTATATAGCATTACACTCTTTTTAATGTTTTATTACTAAATGAGAGTCCCCAGCAACCCATTCCCTCTGTGCTACTTGGACGAATTAGCTTGAGCAGCAATGGATGGTTGTAATTGGCTAAAAGTGTCAGCTAATCGCTTTCATTCTATCTCAGTGCCCATTGCAGGTATGAATTTGGATGGCAAGAAGGAAGTGTGTAATGTCTGCCTTAGCGATACGTCTCCTAGGGGCCATGTTGAGGGTGTGCTCGCGACCCTCATTAAGTGTTAAACTGCTTGAAAATAGTGTAAAACTAAATCGAGGGACAGTGCCATGGTTTTTCAGGAATTATAACCAATTCAATGTGTTTAAGAGATTAAAATGACTGTGATACTGTGTTGCCATGTAACCATGTATCACATGGTCTAAAAGAATTTTACTTTATGAGTCCATGCCATCCATGTTAACTAGCCTCCCAATGCTTTCCTATGGGGAAACACTGAAATGACTGGAATTGTCAACATTGAAGATCTCAGCCAAAAAGGTGGAGCAGCAGTGAGGAGAGCAGCAACGCGAGGGCTGAAAGGTAAGTAATATTCATCTTTCAAAACCTTAAAAATGAGGGGACAGCTAGTTAGGTTTCAGGACACTAAAGCGCTAGGAATACTCACAATTCGTTTCTCCAGTTTCTGAACTAATCTCATACAATTCTGTGCGAACAGACTTTATTTAGTACATTTTTCACAGATTTACAATAAAAAAAAGAAACAATTATTTAATGCACTTCCGCAAAGAGTAACAGAAGTTTAGAAATGAAAAAAAAACAAAAACAAACAATAACAAGACAAAATTCTAATAAAATGTACAAAGTCAGTCATAGCAACTCTGGAGAGTTACTCAGTATAGTAAGGTAGAATTTTGCTAAATTCAATCAGAAATCACTGCAACCTCCTGTTTTATAATTGTGTGTTAGAAACACTGTCAGGTCACATGCTGTGCCACCATCACCATAATGAATTATCTGCATTCATACAGCAAATATTTAATGAATAATGTAATCCGTTTAGTACATTTTGGTTTAAAATTTAATCTGAATATTGGAATGAAGCACTGATTAACGCTGATTGATATATTTTTATAATGTTGGCCCTGTGTAGGAATCTAAATTAAAGGTAGTCCCTTTGTAAATTGATGAATATATGAAAAGCCATATTCCATTTTTAGTTTTCACTCTCGTACATCTCACTCCATTTTTACCACTCCCAACCAGAAGAATGTCCATTAAACCAAGCTCTTCTCGAATACAATCCTCAAAAGTCATAACAACCAAGAAGAATGTGATTATTACCGATACACATTGTTAAAATATATTGCCATTATTAAAGGAACACTTCAAACACCATAACTACTACTGCGTGCTATAGTGGTTATGGTGCCAGGAGTGCCTTGCCCTTCCCCCATTGTAAGCAGTCAAACAATTTTAGAACAGTTTGACTTTTTACGTGGGGCCCACCAGGCACTGTGCCTCACCCCCACTCTGCAGCCAAGAGAACTGTAAGCTCCTGCTTAGACCAGTGCAGGACTAACTCATATTCAGCAAGCATCAGCTAATCGCTATCAGCCAACGAGCTTAGACCTACACCACCAGGCTTAGTTTAAACAGAAAGCTTCCATCTCTCTTGCAGGGAGCAGTGGACTTAGGGGGCACCACCCACTGACCACAG